TCCCCAGGACAAGCAGATCACTGTGTCTGGGAGAGGGCGTTGAACCCCTCGGTGTCGGGAGGATCCATTGGAACCAGATCCATCAGCTCTCTGAGGAGAGGTGGATAAGGGCAGGAGGAAGATAAGGCTTTTAGCTGTGTTTGCGTGGCTGATTCCCTGTTTTCCCTGACTGGGAAGGGTTGAGCAGGGGAAATAAATGCAGATATAAGTAATGGAGCTGTTTATACGCCCGCTTTCTGTGATTTATGCTGTGAGCAGCTCTAGACTAAATATAATGGTTATTGATATGAGGCAGTGGCCAATTTATGGCCCTCTGTGTGGGGACAGGAAGATCTGGTTATAATAACACTCAGCAGGGAAAAACAAATGTTTGGCAGCCAAAAGCTTCCCGGGAAGAAAGGCCAAGCACTGGGGAGGGGTGGAGGGCAGCGCGGTGCAGGGCAGGGCTGCATCGGGACCTGGAGCTGGAGCAGAACCCCAGGGAGAGCCAGGAATAGCCTCCTGCATCCCATTCCCAGTCCTGCCACGGGGATGTCACAAGGGGGGAAACCTGTGCAGAAAGATTTGTACCCTCTGTGATAGCAATTTATGGAGACCTGATCTTCGCGGGTGCTTGGTGCTGTCAGGGCACCGCGGGGATGCTCAGCCCAGCCTGTCCCGGCTCCTGTGCGCGTTCATCACCTCCTCGGGCTCTGGTCTGCTGCAGTGTTTTCAAAAGCGTTAATTGATCCTACTCCAGCGATGCTCTCGTGGCACAGAACACAACGGGTCTTTATTTAGAGCCTGGGGCTGCTGGTGGTCGCAGACCTCAGCCGCTCCTGGAGCCTTCGCAGCGTTAAGAGTGGGGGACGTGTGAGACATGTCAGCCCCTCGTGCGTGGGTACAGCTGCGGTAAGGGGAGCGCGGTGCCGTTCCTCACACTGTGGTGGTGCCTCCTTGATGGACATGCTCAGTGTAACCCACCCCTCCGCTGCCCACAGTCTCCCTTGCACCAGCGGGTCCCACCACCCCTCCAGCACCCACCCCTCCTCTGCTGTCAACCACGGGGTGCTCAAGGGAGCAGGACACAGGATGTGGGATGGAGGGTCTAATTGCGGCTTCCCCGGCTGGCTGAGCTCCCCCGGCACTGCCACAGGAAAGCAGTGCCAGTGCTCCGCTCCGCTCTGCTCCACAAGGCTGGGCTGAGGCGCTAAGCCGTGCCCCAGCTGTCTGAAAGGATCAAAATCCTCCCCCAGCGCTGGCCCACTGATGTCCCACTCCGCTTCCCTTGGCAGTGCAACCTCCTCTGTGGGGCCAGGGCTGCGCTCCCCTGGCAAACAGCCTCCGGATGCTCCGCACGCACCGAAATGGCAGGGATGAGCGATGGTCTGCAGCACAAGGCGGTGCCCTGTGCTCTCTGCAGTCCCGTTCTCAGGCTATGGTGCTCATCTCAGCTACGGATGCTGCTTCCAGCCAGGCTGCATCTCAGGGAAACCTTCCCCAAAACATGAGCCCCAGGGAGACATGAAAGCCTGGCCAGCACCAGCTGTGCCAGTATTATCTCCTGATTGCTATGCTTCTCTCATGGATTTTCCTACCTGAGCCGGGTTTGTGCACATGTGGCTGTGGCCAGAGCTGCCCTGGGACGCTGCTCCTGAACTGGGACACAGACAAGCTAAGACTTCCCAAACATCCCCAAAAGTGCACCCCAGTAACTCCAGCCAGATGCTGCATTGGTTGGAGGGACCAGAACTTTCAGTAGGCTCCGGGTGTAGGTGCGGCAGGGTGTAAGTCCTTCCGTGACAGAGGGACAGGTGATAGCTGGGTGCATTTGAATGACAAAGGGTATGATCTGATGCATTTTAACCCAAAACGTTCCCCAACCCCAGGCCTGCGATGCTGCGGGAGACTGCAAAGCCAAGGGGCGAGAAGGAGCTCTGCTAAGTAAGGTTGAAGGTGATGAAGGAGCCATCCACTTTCTGCTGATGTCCCACTGGCTCTGCCTCCCCCCAGGGCTGGGCTGGCACCTTACAGCACAGGGAGGAGCGACCAGGCAGGGCTTCAGTGACATGGGTCACCTCGCTGAGCTCTGCCTCCAGCGTGCTGACGGTGTTCGTCGCTTGGGCCACGTGCACCTTGTTGGCTGCCTTCTTGTGCAAGAGGCAGATGAAGATCTTCTTGAAGCCCTTGCGGAAGTGTTTGGAGACCAGGGCGTAGACGATGGGGTTCACGCAGGAGTTGGCGTAGGAGATGAGATGTGAGAGGATGCGAAGCACGTACGTAACGTGATTGAGGGGGAAGTACCCGAACCAGACATAGAGGATGACCAGGTGATGGGGCAGCCAACAAAGGCAGAACAGGACAGCTACAATGATGATCATCCTGGTGACCTTTCGCTTGGCCTTCTTGGACTCTGACATGTCTTGGAGGGGGTCCACGGACTTCCACAGGTAGCGAATAGTCCGCACGTAAGTGAGGCTCAGGATCAGCACTGGGATGATGTAGCTGAAGATGAAGGTGCAGATGTCCATGACCTTGCGCTGGGAGATCTCCCAGATGGGGTGGCAAACGGTCAGATTGGCCAACTGGAACTCCTGGTAGTAGCTGAGGTAAGGGCCTGAGAAGATGAAGGACAGCCCCCAGATGAAGCAGATGGCCATGAGGGCGTTCCTGGGTGTCCGCAGCTCCCTCGAGTGCAGGGGGTATCGAATGGCCAAATACCTGCACGGAAAAGGGAGAGGGACACGACTGTGGTGCTGGGGAGGGCACGAAGAGCCACTCCAGGAGCAGACTGGAGAAAGGGTGTAAGTGATGGATTTGAGCCTTCCAGGGCAATTAGTCACACAGGTGATTCCCTGGTGCTTCCAAGGCTCCCAGTGGGGTGAGGAAGACCCCTTCCCCCAACCCTGTCCCGTCTCCCTGTTGGCTCCCACCAGTGCTCACGGGGAAGACTGGGACAGTCCCCTTCCTTCTGTCCTTCTCCCTAATCCAGCAGATCCTCCCTCGCTCATCGGTCTGCCTGGCACAAGTGACAGTGGCAGTGAGGATATGAAGGCAGGAGCGAGTCCCCAGGATTCCCAGACACCGTGTCCCTCACACTGGCACATGCAAAAGCACATCACCTGACTTCAGTTCTGCAATTAGCTTATTCCTTAATTACACCCAGATCCAGGGGCTTGGGCAAGCCCCTGCTTGCTTGACACTGTTCTTCCCAGCTCTGTGGGCTGCAGGAGAGGTAGACCCTGGTTGTGTTTTAGCTCCTGGGGGGCTTGGGCGGGGGGGGCTATGCTGGGATGGCAGGTCCCATTCAGCCCTGCTCTGGAGCTGCTGTGGCTCTTCCCAAGGACTTTCATGGAGGCTTTCCGCATCCCACGGGTTTTAAGCATGGAGCAGAGCAGCACCAGGAGCTCCCAACCTCTTGTTTGCTGCAGGTCAGGAACTTGCCAGCTGTTGTGGAGCCGGGGGCTGAGCTGGCATGGGGCAAAGTGCAGGCAGGAGCAACAGACTGCCTTTTACAGAGCTTCCCGGCTAAAACCCACCCCAGGTCAGGCTGGGACGGCCACTGGGAGGGGGACATGCTGGGACACAAAGGAGCTTTTTGCTAATAAAAGGGGAGGGTGGGAAAAGCAGCATCCCAGCTCAAACATCCCAGTGTCTTTTCCTCTTCGAGGTTCGCCTGCTTTGCCGGGGGCTGTTTGGAGGGCAGGGGCTCTCTCCTTGCATCCAGGGAAGAGCTGGGGCTGCACAGGGACTGAACTTTGTTTCTCTCTAGATTTCTTTTCCCCCTTCAGCTGCCAGAGCCTGCGGGTAAACCCCTGTCCTACAGGTTTGTAGGCTGAAAGCCTCCTCCAGCTGGAGACAGC